GTTACTGACAATAAATCCAATTATGACAGATGGGCGCCCACCAACCACGTTACGGGACGTGCTAGGTCCGTTGTGCCTTGGCGTAACCTGATTCGTGAACGCCCATCTGTCATAATTGATATTCCTGATCACAACCGACAGGACATCAGGCCCGTGGCTCATTTGGTAGAGCATTCGACTCCATAATCAAAGACCCCGGGTTCGAATTTCAAGTGAACCACACTTGGGGTTGGGTATGACTGGCTGATGACGGCCAATAAGCCAGAAATGGCAATTCCGGCCCCTTATCTTTGCCGGCACCATCTCATAACTCCAATTGCTCATATAAGTGAAGATGCGACTTCCAGGAAGTGGTTGATGAGAAGTAGAAGGGATGGCCGAAACAAAAGCCTTATTCGACTGATGCCTCGGATGCACGCTCAGCGACAGTAATAGAAACGGATAATTCTTGCATAGGAATTAGCAGTATTAATACGATGCAGTTACTATGCTACTGAATGCCTGCTGGTGCGCAAGTTGCTTGATGATCGACGTGCAAAACGTTAATCCGTGCAATTTCACTGCCAATGTTGGATGTTGGCGTGATGATGGCTCGACCACATGGCATGACAGCCTGCGAGCTCCCCAAGTGGCTAATTGCTTTGGTCAAACTAGGTCTCGCCGTCGAATATAAGGTGGTGATGTCATTGCACTTGTTGATGGACTGGGGTCCCGCGTACCATAACTCAAGCAACTCGCGGCTCACACGATTATCATCTCGAGAGAGCTTCGGCCTCATTGAAGTTGAATGTGTGACCGGGTCTAGTCGTAGTGGCTGCGACTTCAGAGTTAACTTCATTTCGCCTCGCTCCTGCCGCATGCTCGACGATTCGTGCATGGAGCAGTTTCCTAGTTTCTCCGGCGTAGTTAGTTTGCCCGGCACTGCATCAGATTCTGTAATCTTTTCGTCTCATTGTCCGAATTCTAATGGTTGCCTCCGGCCTGCGTGCGGCTCCAAATCCAAGTGGTGCGATAAGGCGACAAATGGTCTCGGAGACGTTCTTGGTGCACGGGACCGCCTGCCAAAATTTGGGATCGTTGTGATTTTATAACTCGTCTAGTTCGCGTATGCACCGGTTGACGGGTTGAAAACCCATCGAAGATGTTAGAACTCGGCAATCTTGTCATCTGTCTCCCTGTAGTGCGTCTCAACACGCCTATACAGCATCCTGATTAGGTGGTCGCTGTTGAAGTTCAGTATTTGGGTCGTGTTCGCGCCATCCTGAACATTTTGGTCTTTAGGCCACTAGAATCATTGCGACAGACGAGGACATCAAGGACGGCCAGTTGGTTATTTTTCTTCCTCCTCCGTCATGAATTGCATGTCCGGGAAGACGCCGTTGAGAAGTTCTTTGAACGTCAGCACCTGATCCCATTCGATGACGACAAAGGTATCCTCCCCATACGGAGCCCAGAATTGCTGTCTCTGATAGTGGAGGACCAGCGATCTAGCCGACGAAGGGAAGAGCGGTTAATTTTTATAGGTATGGAGCAGCGTAGCGACTGTATCCTATAAATACTGCAACTTCCTGTGCACGAATCATTTCGTTTCTGGCTGCGATTGGGTTCACAGTCCAAAGGCAGTTTCGTGCTAGTCATGAACAGAGTTGCAAGAAAGCGTCCATTATTTATTTGCTAGTTGCTAAGCCAATTAATTGATTTAAGTGGTGGATCGTGGGTTCTATGGACGGCAAAATGAGGAAATGTTTTCGTTGGGCTTGACAATACAGCCGTCCACTGCGTTAGGTCCATCCCCCAAATTTCCTCCTAATCCACTGAATGGCGCAAGGACAACCGTTGCGTGCATATGCATTTTTTGCCTTCTCTTGCGCAAATCCCAGATCAGACATCGCATTAATCAGCGGTTTTCCGCCGATGGACAACAAAATCGGACGGGAAGCACTAGTGAGCTTCTTAGACCTCTGTTTGTTTTCTGCCGATGGTCCACTGCTTGACTGGAGAACGTCCACAGTCTCTTCTCCCACGCCGCCGCCAATGTTGCAGCCCATTTAGACGGGTGAAAGCGCTCACGCAAGCATTCCAACTGATGGTCACGTGCGCTTACCTAAATCAAATAAGTAGACACTTTATAGGAATATAGGTCAGGGCAGATACTTTTCCCCTGTCCAACCGATACCGACTGGACCTCGTTGACAGGCGCGATTTGGGATGTATTCTTCATATTATAGATACCCCAACACATTTCCCTTGTTATTTGACAATCTATTTTTTTGCTGCAAATGCATGTGTAACCGACGATTCGGTGTCCGGCAAATAAGAATAAAGCCAGCAGCCGGGTTTTTGTACGATGCTAGTTATAATAAATAAAGAATAAACAGAGTGCAAATCTCGCCAGTGGATATTCGTATGCTACCGTATGTGTGTATGTCAGACGAATTCTAATGTCTGACGTCAGATAACCAAAATGCACGTTCACTGACGTGAATCATTCGTGCGTGTAAGATCAATTTAAAGTGAAGGGGGGAGTGATATTCAGTCACAGGGCCAAAGGCATAAACTGGCCAAACAAATAAATCCAGTTTAGGTGGAGCAAGAGCAATACAAAAAAGATAGAGAACAATATGAAAATAAAACCGATAAAATTTCACAAGCGTGGGTAGACGTGGAGAATTTTTAAACGGAATATATCAGTCTGTTTCGCTGCGATTGTGCACTCAAAAAATAGAAACCGGTTCTTTGGAGGTGTTAGTAACTCCACTTATTATTCTAGCAAGAAGGCTTTACTGTACCAAATCTATAAAAGGACCAGCAACAACCTCATTCAGAATCAAAAGAATCGCAGTACATTTTAATTGGTTTGTAATCGCCCTCAAATTTTTGTGGTCCCTATTCAAGTTTAGACTTCGCTCCAACAAGATCAATCAACTGCCAGGAAGCATAGTGTATTGAACGGAATCTTTAAAACTGCTCCCAACATTTATTTCGAAACTGCCATTAAGTCCATTCATGAGTTATAACACGTTTGTTCACTGTCTTTTTTGCATTTGTTCTTCTGAAAGTCATTGTTAAGGCGGAATTACCTTATCTTTGTTCATGTGGACATTGGTTTGTTAAACATCTTTTCATATCGTCTGGATCATGCTGTCTTTTTTTTTTTAATAATATATCCATTGACCACGACCTGTTGTCTGAAGTTCGCATTTATTACATTCAGCAGAAAATGTTTACTTTAAGTGCCACATATCCTTTAGGATAGACAAAGGAGGATCCGTAGGGCCTATAAAGTCCTGCGTCACTACATACGCCGTGACAAAGACAAGACAATCAAACGGAGCTTAAGAATACTGAACAAACACGGCCTGTCGACCAATTCACCCAAAAGAGGAACAAAAGCGCAACTAACCCCAACCGAGGTGACGACACACAACACAGGAGGCGCCAACACTCACAAACGACGGCCAGTAGGCAAAGGCAGCGGAAGAAGAGAAAAAAATCGATCAGCCCGAGGCCAACTAATTCGGCTGTCTATTCAAAATTCTGGTGGATTTATGCACTAGATGCTTAATGGAGAGCCGCCCACGTTCTTCGAAACGTCAACCAAATAATTCCCTCGGTCCGGTGAGTACTTCCGTTTCCTCAGAGGAGGATCCGTCTCTAGCAGCACAGTTAAGAGTTACCATAATATTATATTGGCCCACGTAAGATAGATCAGGTCAGTCGCAAGCCTTCTGTGATGCAAAATCTTCCAGAACTGCTATAGTTTTCCATCCTAGACATGTCTCACAAAATCAGTCGCCACTTGTTTAATGGGGACAAGTATTTTTTTATAAAATGAGAGTTGAAATAAGCAGATTTACTAATTTGACACCTTGTCAACCACTGCCCGTCTTCAATGAACTCAATTATCTCCCTTCGCCGTTGCGTGATGTGCTCTACGATCATCTGGCTCTCTGTTCTTGTTGTTCACAAGACGCCCTCTGGCACATAACTATTCACAAAATCCTTGAGAGAACCATCACAGATCTCTGTATAGCCAATCAAATTCGTAGCTCTTTTTAGCATACATTTATACTGGACTGCTCATGCAAAATCTATCATTTGTGATGTCCGGATCTCCTCACTGCTCTTCGCAATACATTTCTCCAATGAATTCAGTCTATCTTAACTTCAGCAAAGCCTTTTATAAAGTGTCTCAGTTCAGTTCATTTCACTTAAGTTTATTGAGGGAAATAGGCGTATGCCTTTGAGTACCCTATTTGCAACGTAAAAAATGTGTGGTATACAGAAAAATGTACTAGGCTGTTCGGATAATTTCCTAACTGTTCGGAGCTATTCGGGGTGAAGTCTGCGCGGATGAGTGTTCACGGGCTGCCGTTCGGTGATAGTAGTGTTTGATACAATGCTGAACTGCTCTCAAAATTTCAGTGAATTGCGCACCTGGGACAGTCAAATGGATGCCGACAAAAGATTCAGAGGTCAGGGTGCCCATTAGGAAAGTTGGGTTGAGGTAGCGATAAGTTTGCGGTGTGTTAACCTGACTGCAAGATCAAAAGATGGCAGGATATCAGTCCAGATAATGGGCGATTGAACGTCAGTCTAGATAAAAACCCATTGAATACATCGCCAGAGACCATGATCCAGAATGCGGGACAGTAGCCCGAAGGTGTTGATAGTGGTGCTGTTTACAGTCTGCGGTGAAAGTTGCCAGGGCGGTGATACCTAGAAGGCAGGATGACACTAACCTCCGCACCGGGTGTCGATAAGGAAACAGTGACTGTTATAGTTGTTAATAGTGTAGAAGAGGCGACTGGGTCGCGACGGGCCAGCAACTGGAACAACTTCCGCACTTATTGATGCCGAATTCACCAGGTCGATCATCCGTAGTGAAGGCATTTGTGGTCTATGATCCTCCTGTCCGGCCTCATTTTGCAGTCAGCCGACATCGAGCAAATGTTAATCGATGCACCCTATTTTATGCAGTCATACTTCAGTTTAAAGAAATGGGAGCTGAAAACTACTACTGCTACTACTACTACTACTACTACTACTACTACTACTACTACTACTACTACTACTACTACTACTACTACTACTACTACTACTACTACTACTACTACTACTACTACTACTACTACTACTACTACTACTACTACAACTACTACTACTACTACTACTACTACTACTACTACTACTACTACTACTACACTAATGTCGAATATTCCTGCTCTGGACCGCCGTCACTTCACGGTCTGCAGTTTTTGTCCTTTTGAATAACTACAACTACTTGAAAACCCTAGTAGCTAATTTTTTCTCCATGAATTGTTTTTTAACTACTTGCTCGACCTGCACTGGGCATTTATTTTGGCCATGTCTGTAAACTGACATTCAGCATGACAATAATCATTATAAATCTAAGTAATTTCGCACAGTTTTACATGTGCGTAGGCGTGAGCATCTTCCCGTGCCTACTGCCGGAAATCGAGGGCTTGGTGACATTTCAAACAATAAACAGAAGGACAATGAAAAACATACGAAAGTAGGTTTGTGCCTAACAATATGGCTTGAAAGGCAGTTGCATTATATTAAGTATATTTAAGTGTAGTTTTTGGAAACGTTTTGGACCCTATTAAAGACTTAGCGGACAAGCACTCAATGCAAAGTAACAGTGCAGCTAGGACGAATTCGGCAAATTGTCACTGTACATTAATATCTGGGAAATGCAGAAATGGAAGTCCTTCACCTTTGTTAGGTGCCATAGTTGGCGGAACATAATAAGCGTGCCCTCTGCGTTAGAGTAAGGCAAGAAGTTGGTTAACGTACTGGCGCTTTCATGTCAGTCGCCGCCACCCGTTATCTGATAACTTTAAAGGACTCAGATTGACTCATTTTGGTTGCTCGATACACTTCGCCAGTGATGACGTCGCTCCGTCCTTCGCCTAAGATTGACTCTGTCTGTGGAACTCCCGACCGACTGCCTGCTTTGCTGTTCACTTCCACAAACACAATAAGACCTTCAGGTATTAGTAGTTACGTGGACCAACTGCGCACAGCTACGCATGATTTTCATGTAACGCCCTCCTCGGGCGACAGTGGCCACTTCCTTAATTCGTTCTGGCCTGCACATATACAAATTCATGCCAAACCGACAAGATTCGTCCATCAGCTCTTTTAACCCCGTCTGAGGGGTCAAAAAAGTCCTTGAATGGCCCGACAAGAATTGTAATACCGACGGAAAGGGCAATATTGACATTGGCAGCATTAACTATGGCAATCCGACCTGCGAAATAGACTCCGGGCAAAACTCTCGATACTCATCAGAGGAAGAAGCGATCGCTGGAACAAGGGCTTTATTCGCCTGACGTTTCAGATTCTCACTTGAATGCATCATCAGAGAGGATGACTCGTGCACAGGAAATCGCAGTATTTATAGGATGCAGTCGCCCTGCTACCGCATACCTATAGCAATTAACCGCGCTCCCCTTCGTCAAGGATGGCTGCCCGCTGGTGCGATAATTGCTTGATGGCCAGCATGCAAGTTGTTAATTGCCGAAACGTCATCATCCGTGTTGGATGCTGGCGTGATGATTGCTCGGCCATCTGGCTCACCGGCTCGCGCGTTTCCCGAGTGGTCGGCCAAAGTAATCGCATCTTTCGTATTTTACGGTGTGAGCCTATGACTCCAGCCAGGGTTAGTACGAAGGTTTGGAGACAGACATGGTTAATAAAGTAGTGCGAAAATAATGAAATCGTTTGCAGACATTCTTCTCTTTGCATATTGTTTTACAAGGCGAGCTGAATATACCAATTTCCTAACTACAGAGGACAGACTCCGCGCGCTATTTTTGAAGCACTTATGTAACGCAATAAGGCTTTTCATAATGCTTGTACATCGTTTCATTCTTTCTTTGAATGCTCTGGATGGCCCGACCGAAGCCGGCACAGACAAACCGGACGCTTTGAGCGGGCCGAAAGAGAAGCGCAGTTGATTTGAGTTAACAAGAGGGTAATAAATGCGTTTTGACCGACTCTCTTTTTTTCCGTCGTCGCTCGTTTGAATGTCGTTGTCTAGTGCTCGCTGTTGCCATTAGTTTTGCCTGCCTTGTAATACCTTCTTATGAGCTAGTCTGACCCTGGACAACAACCCACACCATGCCTATTTTCACAAAAACGTTTTCACAACCAAAGTCAAACGCTGGGATAATTTAAATGTCATTGCAAGTGACAAAATTGTCGTTTTGGCCTGAAAGGACATTTTGCGCGTCGTCAAAAATTAAACGATAGTGTAGAAGAGCTTATAGGTCACCCTTTCCGTCTGAATTACCGAGAGAATAAGCCCGTTTTAAACAAACTATAGTATTTCATTAGCAACTGCTAAATTTAAACCACTTAATTCAGTGTTTTTGAAAGTGTCATATATTCCAAGGCTCAATATAACAAATAAAATACGCATATGGACTGAGTAATATCTATATCTATAGATTGTCAGTGTCAAAAATCCGAATTTAAGCATTAATAAACACAAAAATATATTCGGTGCTGAAATCTGGCTAACGTAAACCCGTTGATGGGGGTTCGACTAATAACCAATGCATTGCATAAAATAAAAATTTCGACAAACAAATAAAAACGTGGTCCAGTGACCAGAGGCGTGGACTTCTAACTAACAGGTCGCGAGTTCGAGCCTCGGATGTTTCCACACTTCGGGGTTGGGTATGACTGGCTGACGACGGCTAATAAGCCAGAAATGGCCATTCCAGTCTCCCTTGTCCTTGTCGGCATTACCATTCTGCCTAACTGAGCCGCTGTGCGACTGCCGGTTAGACTCGAGAGAGGCGGCCCGTAAGGCACAACGGAACGAGTGAGTTCCGTAAGAACGATTGGTGAGCGGTGAAAAATTTGACAGCCAAATTAAGTCTGTTCATACAAGGACGAAAAATTCCATTTATTCTCGCAAAATTATTCTACGTGAACGCGTGAAAGGAGCTACTGTATTCCAATTTTCTATTTTCGGCTTTTCATCAAAGAACGATAGTCAAACGCATAGGCTGCTGTTGCTTTTCTTCGCAAGTATTATTCGATTCGCATGACAGGCATCCCTGCCAACACATAGCCCCTTCGTGGGTGGGTTGAGGAGGGGCTGAGTGGGATCGAAGCCCCCTCTTGACTGAAGCATTTTGGAGCGTATTTACAGCGAAAGTAATGTCTCAGAAACATCGCTCATTGTATCTTCTCTGGCACTAAATGGAGCTAATTTGACGAAAGTAAGTTATAAATAAAGGAAAAAGTATGCGTTTAGGCCCATTAAATGTGGCCGTGGATGAGCTTAAAATACTGGGGTTTTATTTAAGTCGCCCATTGCGGAAATTTTAATCTGTCAACCAGACTGCTTGCGCCTTGGAGTGTATGTTATTACTTCGCGAATAAGACAGTCGATCACGGATAATATCGTACGTCAGCCAATTGTGTTTTCATAATGTTGACAATTGCCTTAGTTAATTTATGCATATTATGCTAATTCTTTGGGTATTTTCCCGCCAGCCAGTTCAAGTACTGGATAAGTCGACATATGTATTATGTAGCTTTGGCGCTCATATTCCAGTTATACAAATTGTTTATCGTTTTTGACGGAATATCCAAAGTAACTACTGTGGCCATCACCGAAGCACCATATACAAGCGCATAAAGCGCCCGGTGAAGGCATATTGTGAACTCAAGTTTGAGGTTCCCTAAACAACAACGGCAGTTGGAAATCAATCCCCCAAACGAGTAATGCGGTCGGAGAAACCAGAGATGATACGCATTACCCCTTAATGTCTCCATCTGTCGGTACGATAATTGTCATCAATGAAATTTATTTATTTATGTTTGAATATTTGTACTACTATAATATGCTCAATTAGTTGAAATTTGTCAATTAAATTTTAAAGAATTAATTCCCTCCGGTAGTGTCTCGAGCATCCGTCGACCATGTGTTTTCCTACCAATTGTTTTTCTCCACCCGTTAGAACCAGCCGTCAACGTGGGGACTTATTAAACGCCTAATTGAATGGTATAACATATGTAACAGTCCATTTATACACAATTTACTGATATTTATTATGATTGTACATATTTTCCGATTGTTTTTTAGTGTCCACAATAAGTAACTCATTCACATGCATTTTCGTCGCCTGAGCTATGTCTGATATCGGGTGCCGATTAGTGGTTGCATATACCGCGGGATCATCAGGAGTACTATGTAGTACCGTAGTACTCCACGTACGCCGGGGGGGGGGGGGAGTTTCGACATGAAGCATGTGAGAACGGTGGGGCACTGTCCCGATATTTTAAAGGGGTGCTAAAAGTGAATGAGGCGACGCCCTCCTGCGCATTTATTTTCCACTGGTGGAGCCGTTGCGTGTTCCCCGCCACAGGTCTGCCAAGCCCCTTCCCAGCCCCTTCTAACTCTGCCATGTCTGAGGGGGCTAGACGGGGCTGGTGCTGGCAGGGGTTGAATAATTGCATGAATATATTTCTCAGCGTCTTATTTAGCAAGTAAAAACATCTCCTTCCGATGATGTCGAACGCAAGACTTCTTCCGATTAAGTGAAAAAGTTTACTTGGACAGTATCTGAACATTCAGACTTTTGATATTTGAGTGCTACTGGTTTACTTTGATTTACAATCTATTGAACCAACCGAAACCGTCATCAGGTGTAAACTCCTGCACTCTCGCTAAACGGAAGTTAAAGATAACTTGTAAATATATGGAGCATTATACCTTTGCTTCGTGCAAAAGCCAAATCGTTTCGATAAAAAAATTCTTGCACTGTACGTGAACATTTTAAAGGATACTAGAAGGTTTTCAAGGTGGTTGCGTTTGCTTAAAAACTTGCAGCGTACAAAAATGTCGGAGGTATGGAAAGTGCAACAACCCGCCTTAAAATGTCCTGCAAAATAAAAAGCAATAGTCCTGTCATCAAAGGAGCTGACGAAGGATCAGATGCAGGTTTTACGGCACGAAGCTTCATTTAACACGGTTGACGCCAAACCTGTTAACATGATTGCAGCAGTGGAATCAATCCTTTGTCAGACGGAGGCAATGGAGGAGACTAAGAACCTCATCCGACACCAAGTGTCGTCTCTCCTGATGGCCCACAGGCCGCGGGAAGTGCTTTCCAAGGTCGAACGTGATGCGCTTAGAGAACTCAAGGCCGACAAAGACATGGTCATCGTGCCAGCGGACAAAGGACGCGCCACAGTTGTACTGGACAGGAAGCTGTCGGCCGCC